GGGCGGCGGGCGGGCGGCCCCGACGAGACCGAGACCCCACCCCAGCCCGTCTGGGGCCCCCGGCCGCCCCCGGCGCCTCGCTCCCGGGCTGGCTGCGAATGAATGGACAGCGCGCCTTTCATTCGTCGCGTGACTCCATCTCTCTCGCACGACGGCGTGCCACGGCGTGGCCGAGGCGCCGAGGCGTGGCCGCACCCCTCTGGAGACAGGCCGGCTGGTCGCCGCACCTGAGACAAGGCGAGTCATAAGCCGAGTACGTTGCGTCATCGCGACGGTGGCGTCCGGGCCCCGGCAGGGCCGGCAGGGCCGAGCCGAGGGTTGGCAGGGCGAAGGGCCGAAGCTGGGCCGAATCGAGACTTGTGCCACAGTGTGCCACAGTGTTCCACAGGCCGGCCGCCAGCGCGCCGTATGGAACAGCAATCAATGAATCACCAGTGTGACGCGTCGCCGTCCGCGGTCGCCGTCGTCGTGAGTCAGACGGGCGCCGTCGGCCACCCCGCCGCCGCACCGCGACAGCTCCTCAAATGCAACTCGTGCTAAAAATCGAACGGCCCGTGCGCTCGTCCGGCTCGTCCCTCCCAGGGCTTGTCCCAGGGCTTGTCCCAGGGCTTGTCCCAGGGCCCGGGCGGGCCGCAGTTCCGCAACACAGTTTGGCCTTCGACGACGCCAACAACCTCTGGCAGGGAAGCAAGTGGCAAGCAAGCAGTCGCTGGCGTCTTCCTTGCGGCGTCGTCGCGTCGTCACACCCGCCGCGCCCCGCCCCGCCCCGCCCCGCCGCGAGGGGCAAGGCAGCATTCCAAAACAAGCGAATCTCGACGGCGGAGACAGGTTCCAGCGCGGCTCGGCCGCACACACACACATGCAGCGTGCGTGTGTGTCGCTGAGTTATCTTGCCATCCTCGCCAGCCTCCTGCACTGCGGACTTGAACTCGTACTGCGGCCACTGCCGGCCGCTGCCAGCCATTCAGGCAAAATCCCTTTGCCGAGGGCCCTGCTGCCTGCTGCGCCAGTGCCACCGCTGCGCGCGCTGCGCCCCGCGAGCCACAGCGGGCCGCCCCGACCGAGCAGCCAGCCGGCAGACGAACAAAGGCTCGTAGTCGTCTGGGCCGTCTACTCGACGGGCGCAGGGGCCAGGGGGGGCCAGGGGGGCCAGGGCGGGCCAGGGCGGGCCAGGGCGGGCCAGGGCGGGCCAGGGCGGGCCAGGGCGGGCCAGGGCGGGCCAGGGCGGGCCAGGGCGGGCCAGGGCGGGCCAGGGCGGGCCAGGGCGGGCCAGGGCGGGCCAGGGCGGGCCAGGGCGGGCCAGGGCGGGCCAGGGCGGGCCAGGGCGGGCCAGGGCGGGCCAGGGCGGGCCAGGGCGGGCCAGGGCGCCCAGGGGGCTGGCTGCCTTACCTGCCCGCCAGGTGGCTGGCCAGCCCAATGGTCCTGATGGCGAGACGAAGGCGAGACGCGAGAAATAGTTAGGAGGTTAAGCGCCATAAATGTGCAAAACATAATCGAAGCGATTTTTTTGCGGGAATCGGTATATTTTGACCTCCTCTTTCATATGAGTCGAGGGGTCACACTGGGAAATCGCGGGAACACCCCGAAAATGGGGGTTGCATATCTGCACGGGGCACTGCCACATTTGGCATTAAAATAGGTTATAAATCGGAAACTATTTGACGCAGCGTCGTGGTAAAAGCTGCGAGGCGTTCAGAAAACACAGGAGATTGATCCGTATCAGTTTGAGCCCTCTGTTGTACAATTTGTGACTTACAGGGCTGATAAAGTAATTTAACATCGCCGTTCAAAACATGAAAAATGCGATTTACTCGAAATTTTCCAAGTTAAATGTATGGATTGATAAGCACCAATAGATGCGCGCTTTCATTTGGGTTAAGATCAGCGTTTGAAATTTGGGGGTCGTCGCTTTGGATTTCGAACGGCAACGCTTTGAACGCCGCCAGGCGGGGTGCGCGCGGCTGCGCGCGGCACCCGGCGGCCAGTACTGCGGGGTGCCTACCCGGTGTCCCCGTAAGGCGCCATGTTAAATTCATCCCTTTATAACTTTTTCCCTAATGCATAAAAAAGTTCCTCATCGGGTCACAAGCCTGTTTTGGGGGCTCAACTATGCATGTGCGAAGGGAAATCGCGTTCGGAAGTTTTGCCGTACGGAACATGTTGGCTGGCCGTGCCCGCGGAGGGTCCGGTGTTAAGTGAAGTCAATGTTCAAATCTTCCAAATACGATTCCACTCGGCACATGCATAGTTGAGCCCCCAAAACAGGCTTGTGACCCGATGAGGAACTTTTTTATGCATTAGGGAAAAAGTTATAAAGGGATGAATTTAACATGGCGCCTTACGGGGACACCGGGTAGGCACCCCGCAGTACTGGCCGCCGGGTGCCGCGCGCAGCCGCGCGCACCCCGCCTGGCGGCGTTCAAAGCGTTGCCGTTCGAAATCCAAAGCGACGACCCCCAAATTTCAAACGCTGATCTTAACCCAAATGAAAGCGCGCATCTATTGGTGCTTATCAATCCATACATTTAACTTGGAAAATTTCGAGTAAATCGCATTTTTCATGTTTTGAACGGCGATGTTAAATTACTTTATCAGCCCTGTAAGTCACAAATTGTACAACAGAGGGCTCAAACTGATACGGATCAATCTCCTGTGTTTTCTGAACGCCTCGCAGCTTTTACCACGACGCTGCGTCAAATAGTTTCCGATTTATAACCTATTTTAATGCCAAATGTGGCAGTGCCCCGTGCAGATATGCAACCCCCATTTTCGGGGTGTTCCCGCGATTTCCCAGTGTGACCCCTCGACTCATATGAAAGAGGAGGTCAAAATCTACCGATTCCCGCAAAAAAATCGCTTCGATTATGTTTTGCACATTTAGCCTTTTTTCTGGCGCTTAACCTCCTAACTAAAAGGGCACGAGGGGCGAGGGCAGCAGGTAGCTGCGGCTGCTGCGGCCCTTCAACCCTTCAGACTGAATCCCAGAGAGGTTCCCGTCGCTCATGGGGCGTTCCGTGAAGGTGCGGGAAACACAGGGCGACGAAAACGACTCTCGGAATCAATCTGCTGCCGGCGCGGCGGGACTCAAACCCAGGGTCTGCAGCAGCCGTTGCAGCGTTACAGGCGTTGCAGTGCAGGCCCTCCTGGCGACGCTGGCGACGATGCAGCCGAGCCGCGACCTTGCCATTCGCGCGTCTTGTGAAAGAAAAAGAAAAACGAGCCACCGACTCTCCTCCAATCCGCCTGCGCCTTCGCCAGCCTCCGCCAGCCTCCGCCAGCCTCCACCAGCCTCCACCAGCTCGCTTGCAACGCCGCCGCCTCCACGGCGCCTCCGCGGCAGGCGGGCAGGCGACAGCTCGCCGCGGGGAATGCCATCGCCATCGCGCAGACCGTTTTCGAGAAAGGTTTTCGTCGCTCTGTCTCTCTCGCACTCATAGACGCCCCGTACAGTATAGGTGCGAGGGAGACAGAGCGACGAAAACGACTCTCAGGATCACAGACTGCCGACTGCAGGAGGGCGGGGGCAGGCGGGGGCAGGCGGGGCGCAGTGCGTCCATACATATGTAGGCTAGGGAGTGGGCGACGCCGCCGCTAGACGCCGCCGCCAGCCCCGCCCCGCCCCGCCCCGCCCCGCCCCGCCGCAAGGCGCAGTGACCACGTAGCGTCGTCGGCGACGGAACGGGACGTGTGTGCACTGTGCACTGCAGTGTACTGCCTACATTGCTGTGCATGCCCGTGCAGTGGCAGTGCCCTGGCCGTGCCCTGGCCGTGCCCTGGCCGTGCCCTGGCCGTGCCCTGGCCGTGCCCTGGCCGTGCCCGCGGACACCAAGGACGCCCGTTCGGCCGTTCGCCCGTTCGGCGTGCTGCCGTTCAGCCAATCGAGACTGCGCGCCGAGTGTCGTTCGAGCACTTCGTGCACTTCGTGACGCCACCGCGACGCCTTGCGCACGATACCCATACCATCCGGGGCGCGAGCTAGAGCGAGCATGGCTCGAGCTAGCAGCCAGCGCGCTGCGCGCTCATGACATGACGCCCATGACGCCCGTGCCGTTGCCGTTCGTCTCGAGCTACACTGTGCACGGCTGCACCACGGCTGCACGGCGCACAGAGTCGTGCCGAGCCGAGCGAGCAGCCAGCAGAGCCCGGCCGGGGCCAGCAGGCTTACAGCAGGCGGCGGGCGGAGCCGAGCCGAGCCCAGCTGGTTGCGTAAGCAGTGATGGATATCCCATACGACGCCATGTGAGCCATGTGCGCTGAGCGCTGTGCGCCATGAGGCGGCAGGCGGGCAGGCGCCGTTCGCGTCGGCCCACACGCAGTGCATGCAGTGCACGCAGTGCAGTGGCCTAACCTAGCCTAGCACCACCGCGACCCCAATGGGAGAGACAAAGACAGTGGCAGGGCGCAGCAGAACCATTTCGAGAGCCGTTCCCGTCGCTCTCTCTTTCGCACTCCTCCGGCGTCCATAACGGAGCGGCAGAGACAGAGCGACGAAAACGACTCTCGGAATCAGTCTTCTAGCTGTCACTGAGGATGCTCTCTGTTCTCTGATGCGCGGGGCCGTTCTACGGTCCCCACGGCCACCAGGAGACTGACAGGCATGGTACACATGAATTAGATAAGGGGAAAAACAAAGTTCAATCTTCTGTTCTAAGGCGTACAGAACGTTTAAACATGGCACAGCACGCCTACATAGAAACTCTATTGAATCACAGAAGACTCCCAAATTGAAAGATTGCAAACAAGTACACCAGCCTGTTGTCAGTACGATAACAGGTGCTTCTCACAATAATGCATCAACAAAAGCAACAGAATCCATCTCTAACGAGATCTTTTGCGACACACAGCTGTTGCCTCCACAAGGTGGAATGACCGATGGTTGGAATTCCCTCCGGCAAAATGCCACACCCAATTAACCAGACGACCACTCGACAAACCAAACCCACACAATATGCAACACACAGTGAGTCCGGATTGGACAGGGAAGTGAAGCGCATGCTTACCATACTACTCCGAAGGCTCCATATCCAATGGGCCTGTCCGGCTGGACATCCTGCGTGTGAGCAGCAGGGGTGGCTGGCTGGTGGGACGAAGGCTGAGGATGGTAGAAGGGCTGGGCCGCCGCCAGGATAGCCTGTTGGTGTTGGGCACCACCCCCGCCCCCTTGCATCATAGACACCGACATGGAGTGCCGAGTGTGGCGCGAGGGCCCGACCACCGCCATCAAACGGCCGCGGACGCAGACGACGCGACGCACTGGCACTGGCTGGCTTCTTGTTGGTTCTGCCACCGGTCACATTCACACAGATTGGGGTGCAGCGGCCTCCGCACTCCGCGCCCACACCATCGGCAATCAGCACTTGGACGCACACTCGCACAGCATCGAGAAGGGTACCCTAACCACACTGGCACGCACTTAAGTTGCAAACAAAACAAAAAAAAAATACTTAAAAAATTTAAAAAAATATATTTAAAATTCGCGAGTGTAGCCACATTTGTTGAGATGTATTTCACTCGCTCTTAACGAGTCCGAGGGCAGATAAATCCAATGTTGATGCTGCAGTTGGTTGTGCCAATCATGATGGGGTTAGGTCTGCCCCAAATACACGTCGCGTTGATCTTCACGGGCAGTCCACGGCACAGTTAAATGTAGAAATAAAAACTGTCCACAAGATGGTCAGAGTTACAGGATCTGAGGGAGTGCCACAGACCCAGTCCAGGGAGTATTTGTGGTCAAGTTATCAAGCGAGCACTGGGAACGACGCGGTGTCGTCCCCAGCCGATGGCTTTCAGCCGAACACTGAGGATCTCTCTCTCGCCTCGCTCTCGCTCGCTCCGAGCGAGCAGAGCAGAAAGAAACTTGGAGCGCAGCGGAGAGGGGAGGGGGGAGGGGGGAGGGGCGAAGGGGCGCTGCTGGCGCCACCGGTGGTGGAGTGGGGAAACAACGCTACCCAGAAGGCCAAAGAAACGGTCGTGCATCCAGAATATATAGGATAGTCTATATCCGAGTCACCTGTACCAACTTGCATAAGGTGAATTTATTTGCTAGGCGTCGTTCATAGTTTTGTAATTCTGCACAAATGCTTCTTTGTGTTATCGTGTTGTGCTGTGTTGAATCCTTTATTTCATTTCTCGTCTCTTCTTTTCTCAAAACGCTCTCGGAACATGGAAGTTAGGTGTAGTGGACTGACCAGGGAAGTGGCAGAGCGCGCCAACTAAGAAACCGCGACCGAGCCCGTGATTCCCTGGATGACACTTGTGCTATTTCATTCTCGGCGATACCCCTTGATCATTGTGTATTCCTCATTCATGTACTTCACACATACCCACTCCCAACATGTCCTTCCAGTAATAAATGTCGGTAACTTTTGAAAATGTGTTGGGGAGCAGGTTGGTCAGCTAACATGTCTCAAGGTAAAGAAGGAGATAGTTTTATTTCCACATTTATTGTCGAATCTCAAATTTACTGACTAGACAGGTTTTTTCTTCCACTGTGCAAAGACAACTACAACACCACAATAACACATGCAGTGTTTAGTGTCCACAACCTAAACAGCATTGCTACAGACATTTTCTGCAGATTATTCAGTTAACCACATGAAAAAGCTTCTCATGAGGCATGCTTTAATTGTGGAAAGTTTCCATAGGAAACCAGCAAATTAAAAAATAATGGCATGGGTTCTAGGTCTTCAAAGAACAAGCAAGATTACAGATCTATTTTTAATTTAGCTTTATACAGCAAATAAAATCCAGATGATTGCATTGAAAGCACATATGAAGTACGGGTTGGTATTACCAATCTAGCGACTAGTCCTTTACACGTGCATTCCAAACATTTTAGAATTGATTGACATGGATAAGAAAAGTGAATAAAAGTTTAGTCCTTGGACTGCATGTACTTGATGAGGTCCACAACACGGTTGGAGTAGCCGTACTCATTGTCGTACCTGTATTAACAGAAACAAATGAAATTTAAGAACAAGCTTTACAGAGTACCTAAGTAAAAAGTATTTAAGAACCACCCATAATTACCATGAGATAAGCTTGACAAAGTTGTTGTTTAGGGAAATGCCAGCAGCAGCATCGAAGATGGAGGAGTGGGTGTCACCAATGAAGTCAGAGGACACAACCTCTTCCTCAGTGTAACCAAGGATGCCCTTCAGGGGTCCATTGGCAGCCTCCTTAACCTTGGCCTTGATGTCATCATAGCTGGCACCCTTGCCCAACCTAAATTTAACAAAAAAAGACCCATTAAGCACCAACAAGGAAACAGTTAAAATTACATTTCACTCTTTAACAGATGGATTGGAAGCAGGACTCACCTCACGGTGAGGTCAACAACGGACACATTGGCTACAGGCACACGGAAGGCCATACCGGTCAGCTTTCCGTTCAGGGCTGGAATGACCTTGCCGACAGCCTTGGCAGCGCCAGTGGCAGCAGGAATGATGTTCTGGGCAGCGCCACGGCCATCACGCCACAGCTGATGCAATGGAAACGAAGTCATGTAAGCTTTGGTCTTGATCAGTGAAAATTTAAAAATACGAACAGCACAAATATGTTACCTTGCCAGAGGGTCCGTCAACGGTCTTCTGGGTGGCAGTGGTGGCATGGACAGTGGTCATGAGACCCTCAACAATGTCAAAGTTGTCGTTGACAACCTTGGCAAGGGGAGCCAGGCAGTTGGTGGTGCAGGAGGCGTTGGAGACAACCTTCATGGATGGCTGGTAGGCCTCAAGGTTGACACCGCAGACGAACATGGGGGCATCAGCAGAGGGGGCAGAGATGATGACCTTCTTGGCACCACCCTCCAAGTGAGCCTAGAATTTACAAAGATACTGGTTAGCCACTATACACACTGACAGGTGTGGAAATCAGAGCCTGAAAGTCTACTTACGGAGGCCTTCTCAATGGTGGTGAAGACACCGGTGGACTCAACAACGTACTCAGCACCAGCCTTGCTCCATGGGATGGCCTTGGGGTCACGCTCCTGGAAGACCTGGATCTTGTTGCCTGTGATATCAAATCCAGAAGAGTTAGTGCAAAGAACTGTCATGTTTATCGGCATGAAGACACCAACAAAGACTCTCAAATACCTACCGTTTACAACAAGGCAGTTGCCTTCAGCCTTCACCTCACCCTTGAAGCGACCGTGGGTGGAGTCATACTTGAAGAGGTAGACCATGTAGTCTACGCCGATGAAAGGGTCATTGACAGCAACGACCTAGCAAAATAGATAGTAATTAAAAACGTAGCATAACTTCATTCATGTGACATCCAGGACTTCAATCAATGAATGAAAATCTCCAACAATAAGAATCTTACCTGGGCACCCTTCTCAATGGAAGCCCTGAGGACCAGGCGGCCAATACGGCCAAATCCGTTGATTCCGATCTTGGACATGGTGATTTAGTTGTCTGAAAGCAGTAAAATGTCAGTGTTAACAATCAATCGGATTGCATCATTAAAAGATTGCTCAGATCTAACGCATACGCTGACCTAGCTCAACGTTCGTTACGACCCTAGAAAATTCCAATGTCAAGGACAACTTATCAGATGAGAATCCTCTGGCAAAGGTTAGGGAATGCGGACCTTGACGTGACATGTGGCACTGACACGCTAATTGCGTCAGCCTGTCTATACGAATCGAGGCAGGCCTTCGAGACCAGAAAGTAAGGCCGAGTAACCCTTTAACGCGTCCCAGTTTTCATTTGCCCGCTGGCACCAGCCAGCACAGAACCGTCCGAGTACAGTGTCAGACGGAAGGACGATCCAAGGTCACGTAGGAACGAGGCTTACGACACGGCGCGTGGGCTGGTGAAACCCACTAAACTCACTTCCAGACGCACCGAAACGTTGTTTCACTACTAGTCTCTGTCACAATCGACTCGACACTCAAGATTCCTACCCTTGGACAGAGCGATATCGACCGGTAACACCCTCGCCACACCGGTCGAAAGCGACAAGGAGCGATCACGAGAATGCCCCACGGATACGGCGAGTGACAACCCTCACTCGGGCGTCACATCGACACAGCGGTGAAGGGCGGCGTCAAAAAGGGGGCCAATGCTAACTATTTCAAAGTCAATATCGAAACGGGTTGACACGGAACGGGACGTGACCACTCACCTCGGGTGGGTGTCGGCTGAGTAGTAGGAAGGACGAGCCGTGCTGTGACCGCTGAGTGCTGGCTGGCTGGCACCTCGCTGCTGCTGCTCTGCCAGGGAAGGGTAGCAGTGGTGGGGGAAGTCACGTGACCGCGAGGCGAGAGATGTGCCCGATCGATGCAGGGCCCGGCTGGCCCTGGCCCACAGGGCCCCACCACCGTGGCCCCGCCCCGCCCCTTGGCTACGGCCCACGCCCTCATCTTGCGACCCTCGAACAACACCGAACTCGTGGCCGTGAAACGGAACGGCGAATTAGAAGGGCATCGCGCATTCCAAACTCGATATACAATCACTGCAATCTACGACCTTAGCTTGGCAGTGCTTCCCTCGTCCCCGGTTGCCGTGGGGAAAACCCGGGAAAAAATAACTGAACAGAGTTCACTATAAAGGCAAAAATTTCAAGATCTAACGTGCCAGTAGTGGGTTAATTCCCTAAAAAAAACCTGAGGAGTTACCTAACTTAACATTAGAACGAGCATCTTTTCCTGTCTTTCATAGTTTACGCGCTCTTGGAAACAGTGCAGACAAATCATTACCAACATAGTCATTCAAAAAATGATCGGACCCCAAAGCATATGTAACGCGAGTCTTACATCTCACCTTCTCCAAGTTCAAACAAAAATGCATTTCGTAGGTTTTTGTCTATTTTTGACAAATACAATCACACAATATGAATGTTTATGATGTTCGATCAGCTGTTAATCTTTCGATAAACTTCTCATACCTCCATCCTAGTGGTTGTACCACCCTCGTTGTTGTTTACATCTGAACTCGAAAACGACTTTATTTTAATGTGACAAGGGACAGAACCATCAAATGTGTAATTGTTAGTTTTTGGTGATCCTTGAATTTAGTTGAATTTGAGAGCAAAGCAGCAACATGTTTGGTGCTGTGACAACCTTTATCATGCTAATGCAGGTTATGTTTATAATGAATCTAATCAAATAATCCTGACATACTAGTATTTAACATGGAGTATGATCGAAAAAGACGGCGATCCAAAGAAGCAAAAAAGCACTCCTCCTCTCCTGAATATGTGTCATCACATTCAAGACACTCTCACAATGAAAGGAAACATAGGCATTACGATGATCATGACAGACGGTATAGTAATCACTCGCCACGGTCCAGAAATTTAGACGAGAGAGAACGTGATCAGAGGCCATCATCATCCAGGTTGTATTATGAGAGAAAAAGCCCTTCTTCAAGAGATGCTTATCAGTTGTCAAAGTATCAAGACTCTCAACAGAGGCACAGCAGGAAGAAAAGTCCAACGAGGAACGAAGATCAAATAGATCTTTCTGAATTCTCTTTCCTTGACCACCGTAGGGAACTAACGAAAATATTTTCCAGTGACTCATCTGTAACATCAGATGTAGATGACCTTTGGAAATTTGTGGCTAAGTATGAGGCTCTGCAAAAGAAAAAGTCAGAGCCGATTTTGAGCACAAACCTTGAAGGTAAAATTCTATCTTTATCTTTTGAAAAATTTTCCTCTATAATTCTTGTTGTTAAAATCATTGCATTCTTTAACTTTTTGTTTTCTGTAGGGAGCGATGAAGTCAATGAACTTGGCTTGCCACTGGTCTTCAATAAGCACAATTTAACAAGCATTGATCTTTCTTCGAGCAATAGGGAATTGTCTGCGCGCTTGCCACCATATGACCCTGACTTAGGTTCTGATCAGCTTTCCATGGTTCACATAGTTGAGTTCCGAAAGATCTATCGACTTTACCTAGGGTTCAAGCAGAAGGAAAATTTTCAGAAACTTCAGAAACTTCGTGAGTCACAAGCTAATCTACCCGTAGCTCAACATAGGTGATTAATTTTAAAAAACTAATGTTCCTGCCATTTGTGGAGAGAAACAAGAATTTCATGGAGATTTTTCTTTCAGGGATGAAATTGTTCAAGCAGTGAAGAACGAACAGGTTGTAATTATTGCAGGTGACACAGGTTGTGGGAAATCAACACAGGTACCACAATACTTAATGAAAGCTGGTTTTAGTAAAATTGGTAAGTTGAAAATACTTTAAGAAATGCAATTTTCTTTGCTGGCAATTTTCTTATCATATCTACAAAATAATATACCTCCTCAATTAGCTTGCACACAACCTCGAAGAATTGCATGCATTTCACTTTCCAAAAGAGTTGCTTTTGAAACTCTGAATGAGTATGCATCTGAAGTTGGATATCAAATTCGATTTGAACGTCGCAAGAACCAACACACTCGAATACTTTTCATAACTGAAGGTTTACTTCTACGACAGGTATGTACATAATCCTAAATCAGTTCAGTGGTTTTTGTAGAATTTCAAGAAACTTTTACCTTAAACTTACAGATGTCAAGTGATAATTCCCTTTCAAGTTACGACGTACTAGTACTCGATGAGGTTCATGAGAGACATCTTCATGGAGACTTTTTGCTTGGAGTTGTGAAATGTTTATTATTTCAAAGAAAAGACTTAAAGCTGGTTTTGATGTCAGCCACCATTAACATAAAATTGTTCAGTGATTACTTTGGTGATACTGCTCGTGTGATACAGGTTTCTATTTTTCTTCAAATATTCACCTTGCGTTTTAAATGAAGAAATGTTTTACTAAATATGAATTTACAGGTGCCAGGGAGGCTACATCCAATCAAACTCAATTATTTTCCGTTGTCAGTAGAAGATAGAGCATCCAAGACTGAACGCTTCAATGCAATGCCATATATTCGTATTTTGCAACTTATAGATTCTAAGTATCCAAGTAAGGTTAAACTTTCTTTTTGTCAGTTTTTGTTCTTATTAAATATTTAGCTGTCTGGTTCATCATAGGTACCATTACAACCAGGCAATAATTAACTATAAAAATCAATTAATGCTTTTTGTACTCCGCTAGGTGATGAAAGAGGGGATCTTCTCATTTTCCTAAGTGGCATGTCTGAAATTCAAGCAGTTGTTGATGCAGCAAAAGAATATAATCTTAAGAAAAAAACTTGGATTGTATTGTCTCTCCACAGCACTTTGTCCCTCGCAGAACAAGATAAAGTAAGTATGGAAATAGTTTCCAAGTTCAATTATCTGATCCAGATTGGTCATAACTTCCAAAAAATTACTATTAATTGTCTACAGGTTTTTGACTATGCTCCAGAGGGTGTAAGAAAATGTATTGTATCAACTAATATTGCTGAGACATCAATCACCATTGATGGTATACGCTTTGTGGCAGATTCTGGGAAAGTTAAGGAAATGAGTTATGATGCTGTCAGCAAAATGCAAAGACTGAAGGAATTTTGGATAAGCAAAGCTAGTGCAGAACAAAGAAAAGGAAGAGCAGGCCGCACAGGACCTGGGGTCTGTTACAGACTTTACTCTGAAGAGGAGTACCAAGCTCTTGAGAAGTACTCAACCCCAGAACTTCAAAGAGTCCCATTAGATTCTCTGTTGTTACAAATGGTTTCCATGGGACTCCCTGATTCGAGAAAATTTCCATTCATAGAACCTCCTGCCATGGAAAATATTGAAAATTCAATCTTATCTTTAAAACAACAGGTAAGGAATTTTTGTTAGACTTTTACAGTGCCAGATCATGGCCAAAAGCTAAGAATAACAGATATCAGTTTTAAAACTAATTTGTTTGTAAATAATACAGGGTGCGCTAACAACATGTGAGAAGTTAACAAGCATGGGCAAAATGCTTGCCCGTCTGCCGGTTGATATTCCTCTTGGGAAAATGTTAATTATGGGATCACTTTTTCACCAAGCTCAGCCTGTTCTATCTCTTGCTGCTGCCCTCTCTGTTCAAACACCATTCACTAATCGTGCTTATCGTGACCCTGAATGTGAGGTAAAGATGCACATTTATTTTGTGAGAAATTTGTAGTACACATTTATGCATACAATCAAACTAAAGTGACTAATAGGAAAATACATCTTTATTATGTTCCTTTTAGAATGCTAGGAAATCACTTGAATCTGACCATGGTGATCCAATTACACTTCTAAATGCCTTCAGGGAGTGGTTAGAAGAGAAAAACCATAGTAGAGGTACCGACAGGTCTGGGACACGGGTCTGGTGTCGGAGACGAGGTTTAGAAGAGCAAAGATTTTATGAAATGACAAAACTCAGGACACAATTCAAAGATCTGCTCCAGGTGAGTAAGTTTTTCACTGGTATTTTGTTTCACCTTGTCAGTATCTTCATTTTTATTTTGCTTTTTCACCCTAGGATTGTGGTTTACTCAAAGACTTAGAACAGCCTAATGATAAAATGACTAGCAGTGAGCGAGCTGTAAGGCATGGGGAACTAAAACTGTTGCGTTCAATGAAGCGAGAATTCCAAAATGCAGCCCCTCGCAAGCGTACTTTGCTGAAAGCAGATCCATTTGACATTGGTGGGGAAGGAGAAGAAGACAATAAAGGAGTTGATATAAAAGATGTTGAATTTCGAATGCGAAATGATTCAAATCAAGTACAGGTAACATTTCTAAGCTTGTCCTTCATGAAACCTGATCAATTTAAAACTTTGTTCTCCCTCACCTTATATTTTAAATGACAGAATCTTCTCACTGGAACATCTGCCTGCAGCTACAAAGACCTGACCATGTTGAAAGTTATTCTGTGCAGTGGATTGTACCCACAGTTTGCCATAGCTGATGAATTTAACTACTGCAAGGTAATTCTTTTCTTCTTTGCTTTGGCATTTTAAGACAATTGTGAGAGTTCTCTATTATTCGAAAATTAATTTATCACCTTTAGTCTTCTAGTGAGCAGCTGTTCCACACTCAAAAGAAGCCTTATGTTGCTCTCCACCCAATGAGTGTCTTTGGAAATAACTCTAAGATCCTCCAACTAGAAGACTCAGAAATTGTACATATTGAGGGTGTAAAAAGCAAGCAACCGTTTTCTTCCAGGCATCAGCTAATGTCTTACATGTGAGTAGGAGCTTGAGAATCAAAATTTTGTGGATGTTGCAGCACTAGAAATAAAAACTGTATCTTTTTAGGACCTTGCTGGAAACCACTAAACCTTATTTGGTAAACACTATGCGCATGCCTGCTGCTCAAACACTCCTTCTCTTCTGTCAGGATTTACACACCAACTACAACTGCTCAAGGTTTGTTGATTTCGAAATTGACCTTCCAAGGCTATGTGACTCTGGCCTCATCTCATGTTTCTATTCAGGGCACTTTTTTTTACTTCATTGTTAATTTACAGAATAGTTTGTGACTCTTGGCTTCAACTTAATTTTCCGTTGGCACTTGCTGCAGAAACTTTAATGTTGAAAGTAGCACATATTCATTTTCTTTGGGAAAGTTTGCTGAAATTGCGCCTGGAAGGTATCTAAAAGTTCATTGTATAATCCCTATATTTCCATAATTCTTGCTCCCTGTACTGAATTTTTTTTCTGTTTTCTAGAAAAAGAAACTGTGCTATTGGAAAGAGACCTAACAGAGCAGATCATTCTTTTTATGCGCTCTGATGTTGTTTACTCTATTAAAAGATTATTAGCAGCAGATTTAAAAGTTCTTTATGTTGGGCAAGGTTACAATGAAGAACCCATAGCTCCAAACCCTTTCCAAGCAGACTTTGAAGCTCACCCAAACTGTTCACTTGGAGGAATGCAAGTCTCACCTCGAATAACTTACAACTGGTAGTAATTTATTAAACTAATTCTTTTCAACTATTTTGCTGAAAATGTGTTTGTGATCGTATATTTTAGTGAAAAGTAGTGCTAAGCAAGTTTTCTGTTTGTCAGTCTTTTAGAAATTTCATCAGATGTTAAAGAAATAGATGAGAACCCCACTTGGCAATGTGATCGCTGCAATTTAGCAGTCCCAAACACTACAATTGCCAGACTGCAACACCGCCAAGAGTGTGAAAAGGGCAATACAAAAGGTAAGCTGATTTAATTGAATTACTAAATTGGAAATAACCTACTGACCTACATGTATTGCATTGTTTGCTTTCAGGAGATGATCCCCAGAGTTCAGAAGAGAATATCTCCCATTCGCCGAGAAAGCCAAACTCCAAAGCTTTTGAATGTGCAGAATGTGGTCGCACATTTTTCCTCACACCTGTGGAAATACTGAAACATAAGAAACAACATGCTTCTGGGTGATCCAATTAAAGTACACAAACTTATCCAAAATTGTGAATGAAAGGTAATCCTGTGTTAGAATTGCATGATACTTCATGAAATAAACCATAGTTTAGAACAAACTTTTGTATTTCGTGAGTGTAAAGCCTAAGCTAGTAAAATGAATTGACATGACTAAAAGTACAAGAATAGGTCAGGGTCATTTGACACCATTCACACACACATCATCTCATTCCCAATTGGCATGCTTAAAGAAAGAGAAAAAGATTAATGACAATGTGCTTTTTTTAAAAAAATCTTTGCCCCCATTTTCTTCTTTCTTCCTTTATATTTAAAACTAATGTAATTCACCAACATCCCCACAACCCCCTATAAATTCTCTGAAAAATCTTAATACAAATAGAACAGTAACAATTGTTAAACATTATAGTGAGAGGAACAACACTTTCCAATGGGTCTCAACAAAGCAGCAGCATCTTTCAAACTGATATAGTTCAAACAATGTTTCTCCCTTTTCTATGACAGCTCCTACAGTGAAAGTTAAATGTACTGTCATACACAAAAAATTAAATTCTTATTAGTAGGACAGACTTTTTGCATTATTGCATATTTTAAGAAAACTAGCGCTTCAATCAAAATCAGCTTTAAACGCAAAACATAACTCTTGACCAAAAATGCATTGCTTTAAATGTCAAACCCAACTTCATTCCTCTAAACCAAAGGTGTTTCAAAAATCTACCACTAACTTATCACAAATTACAGAAACTCTATGCTACATTAACATTGTCAACAGTGCTATCCATAACAAAAGTGGGGGATAAGCAACTTCTGGCATTTTATTATAATCTTATGCTCCATTAGTAAGTAAAAATTTTAAGTCGGAAGAAAATCTCAGTGCCTCTACAGCAACTTGAAACTAATGCAGGAATCAATTCCCAAGTATATCAAACTTTGCACAAATTAAAATTATCACGAAGCAATGTGCATGCATTATAACAGTCTCAAAAATATTGGGCCAAGTTGCACTGCTCTTACACAAGCACATTTAAGCTCAATTCATCATTAAAAATAACCACTGTTGATGTACAAGACAAATTATGCTCACTAGAAAAGTGCATTGTTTGAACTTGCTCTCAGTCGCAATGAATGTGAGAATTTTCCACATAAAATATTTACTCCTTGCCTTGTGCAGTTTTTCTTCTTCATAGTCAAAACAAAATAAAAGCTCAACAATAAAGACAGCTTCCAAATCAAAGAAAGAAACAAGACAGACTAGATATTTGAAAGGCTGCCCTACATCTATTGATTGTTACAGGCAGCATGAAAAAATTCTGAATGGAAAAGAAGTTACACTATACTTGACTATGTCTGTTCCCTTATCTTCTAAATTGCTCAAATGCGGCCATGTGATAATTTGTACATTCGTCTTACTTAACCTTGATAGACATAGAAACAAATGATGAAGAGTGAGCTCAAGATACCACAGTACATTTAAGTGAGTCTAATGGAAATTATATGCAAATATTGAGATGTGAAGTACTACAGAAACTGAATATGATTGTAATTTATTAACAATAAGGGCATTCACAACTACCGCAAATGTACATTCATGCTTAAACTAAATTGTACAGGAATTTCTTAAGGATTTGCCGTTTGCAATGTCTGAGCAATTAATTACACTTGTTGATCACAAGTTCATTCCGGTGAAAAAGGTAGGAGAAAAACGTGCACCAGCCTACATTAGAGAAAAGAGGCACAAAAATAATTGTCAAGGGCCTAAATTATTCCTTTAGTGAACAGCATGACAAAGTCTGATTCAATTCGACTACAATTGAAGCTATGAAGAACAACTTGTAAGTGAACCCCTTACATTTAACAATCTTTGAAGTACTTGGGCGAAAATGATGCATGAAACATGATCAGATTTTGGAGCCAAACCCTGAAATGAGAAAAAAACCTAAACAAATTCCCTTATTTCACATTGTTGACGCTGAACAATGTGCACACCCCACTTCCAGACTTATTTTATTGAGCTTAATATCCAGCTCAGAAATAGCACCATACAGAGAGGCAAATGAAGGACATTGAAATACATTTTTTTTTAGTGTGCAGCAATGTGTAACACAAACACTGAAAACAATGCATTTTATGTGATACTAAGTGTTTGGATGGCAGACACAATGAGAAGTGAGTTTGTAATGGAAACAATTGCCTTCTAAATTTTTTGACAAAAGCAACTGCATGAAAATGGGACAACAATATGGTGCCATTAGTGAGGGATGAGTGAGGAACATTCACTAGCCACCAATTATGATCCTAAAAGTCCATATGATGTCCGAAAACAATGTTTCCTTTCTGTCCTCTTAAAGCACTAAACCTAAGCAAAGATTTTTTTGAAATTTCTTTGTTTTTGTAGCTTTTTGTTGTTACCCATGGTGGGCCAAAATCAGAATTTGTATCTGCTCCTATACACCCTGTAGATAACCACCACTACATTGAAAAGTAGTCTCATTAAAAATACTTTTTTTTTTCCTTGGCAGTTAATTTTAATGAAAGGTCTGATCACAAAGAAATTAACATTCTAAATTTAACAACTTCCCAAAGCTGCAAAAATAAGAGACTAAATAGGGATCTCTAAAATTATACAAAAGCAGGCAACAGATATACACGCCCTAAAGATTGTTCCGATTTCCATCAGCCCCAAAGCCACCCACAAATGGCAAACTAATCAAGTTTTTTCAAGAAAGCAAATTTTATGAAATGACTCATGCAATAAACCTTTGCCAACCATTCAACAAAAGTAATCCAAGGATGGTAAGAAACATCTAGAATATAAGTCTTTCAAAGAACACGAACAAAGAAAAAAAAAAAAAAAAAAAAAAAAGGACAAGTACAGCGAGATTGAAAAGCATTTAGGTAACACAATTTAGTGAACATTACAAGGAAGAAGCAGATTTCAAACATTATTCTGTTGAATAAATGGTAAACAGAAAGAAATGTTTGTTTCCGTTTCTTACTTCTGTAGTCTGATCATGACTCACATCCTACACTAACCCAACAATACATCAACAAAGCCTCACAAAATGACTACATCAAATAGTAAAGCAATTTATGAATGTACTTTTTTTTACCCTTTTTCCTGAAACACTTTACTTGATCATAAGGGTGTCCTCTAAAGTAATGGCACAGGTGACTTAGAACCAATTAATATTAAAATTGGAACAGTCTACGACATGTAAGGAAAAAATCACATAAAAATACAAATTAAAAAAACCTACATACACTTGAAGTAAGGAATGGAGTGGAAGGAAGAAGATCATGACGCAATCACATAAAAATTACAAATTTGATACTAATCTTTGAAAAAAAAGGGAAATTTAGATTTATAGCATTGAACATCTTCGGTAAAAAAAGCTGCTGCTAGAGCAGCAGGCAAGCTCGGGTCATTGACCAAACAATGCCTCGAATGAATTGTGAATTTGATCAATCATATCTGTAACAAGCATACTACGCCCATGTATACTAAATGCTCGCCTGTTGCATTCTTTCGTGAGCCTGCAAGCGCCATACGCAGCAACTACCATTCGCTGTGAAGTGATTTCAGGGAAAATTTTACACTCCACATCTCTGCCAGCAACAAGTGCCCAACACAGGAAGGTACCAAGACTACCTGAGAGCAGATCACCCTGGCCACCGCACCTTCTGCCAGAGCCAGCCCCAGATGCAGGCAGAATATGATGAGGACTTGCAACAAGGTCTTGAGAACCTTTGAGAACTATGACTGTTCTAGGACCCAGACAGCTTGCAAGAGCCATAAGATTGTCAGCTTTAGATTCTGGTGCTGGTGACCATGACTCTCGGAGTATTGAACTAGCCAGTCGAGTAAATTCCACTGCATTTGGTGTGAGGACCAAGCCTCCTGGGTAGTCTACCACAAGATCAGGTTGTTCAGTTATTAGGTGAAGCCCATCAGCATCAATCACTAGTGGTTTCTTCTGATCTACAGTATTGTGACGACAATGGTCTATGATGCAGGCCACAGTGTGTAGCACCTTGGGATCTCTTCCCAGCCCTGGTCCAATTACCAGCACATGAAGGCGAGATAAAACAGGTTTTATGTAAGAAATAGCATTATCCAGGTCTAACACAGGATGAACTATTAGCTCAGGGCTGTAAGATTTGATAACGGGCCCTGCCTCTTTACAACAAAATACATGAGACAGGTCACAACCAACACGGAGTGCACTAATTGCTGCAAAATAGGGGGCACCAGAATATTCCATGGAGCCACCAATGACACCAATTCTACCAGCTTGTCCTTTATGGCGATCCTCAGTTAGGTTTGGCACCATAATACATGCTTCATTTAGTAGTTTGGCTTCAACCCTTGAAGAACCACCAGGCGATCCTGGTGTTGAGTCCATGATTGAAGTTAAGGTTCGGATGACTTTTGTTTTGAAGTTTGGTAGACAGTCAGTCCCGTTTGCGGGGGGATGTAGGACTGGCTTGCACCATCCTAGCACTTTCTGAAAGTTTATAGCCTGCAATAGAACAAAATAAGCCGATATTAGACATGGTTTGGTTACTGTGACCTCTGACCTCAGAGTGACTTGCATGTTGACATATTCAGTAGTATTCAAAGAGAAGTAACACATAAAAAGTCAAAAAACTAATGTTTTCAAAATACACTACTACTGTGTAAAAAAGAAATACAATTTAAGCTTCAAATTGCTTCCAAATTTTTCTGTTTATGAAGTTCTAACAAGTCTTTTAATGTCAACCACATCTTCTGAATATTTGTACCAGTGCCTTCAGCTTGTAAATTTTGTTACCCAAAGAGTGCAGCAAAATAAAAAACTAAACTAAACTAGGCTACTCGTTGGCAATTCAAAGTTAATGGGCATTATCTACATTATTCACAATTAAGTTCTGGCGCGATAAACATACAAAACAACAATTTTATTTTATAGAGAACACAACCACAAAAGTTCTCCAGGAATGATAGGGTGAGTGAAATTAGGATATGCTTCCCAATAAGTCAACAAGGACAGAAAAACAGTTTAGAAAATGACACATAACCTATGACTCTTGTGAGGTCAGTGATAATACATTGGAATAAAACTATAACGGCGCAGCTGAACCATGTTCTCACCAGCTCTATTTAAGACGGCGACCTTAATCGAAGAAATTTTCTCTTGTCGCGTGACAAAAGAATCATCAGTGCTGAAAATCTAAGTAAGGACTAAAATTGAAAAAGCAGAAGACTATATATTTTTGACTTTGGTTGCTGGAATCAATGTTACCAACCTGCGAACAAGTCCCGTTTACTGTTTGGGGGTTCAAAACGATGCGAACGGTTCCATATTTGCTGTAAAAAGACACACGTTTAATTGAAATAATGCTCCAAAGAGCTCAAAAAGTTAAATCAATTCCTTCGAATGAAAAAGTGAAACTCTCAATACTATTTTGTTGGCACCGTTTTGTGGGTGGAGAAGTGGGAGGAGTGAGAAAAGGGTTTTCTTGTCCCTTAACGTCTTTGATCGACCAAAAACGTTTCAGTGAACTTTTCATTGAAAATTCTTATCCATTCAATGGATGCGCTGTATAAAACAGGATCATAAATGAATGGAGGAGTATGCTGAACCAGTTTTAACCAGTTTTCCTCGTGATTTATCATATCTTTCCAGAAGCGTTTCTCTGAATTTTTCTTACATTGGAATCTGAATACAGCTTTTTCAAGGGAATTTCTTGGCGCGAAGTACAAATGCGAGAACTCAATGCTACCGACGAAACCCTCTTCCCGGCACTCACTTCAAGTTTGCCGCGTCTGCGCAGAGGTGTTTCATTGAAGCTGGAGGCTAAATGAACAAAATAAACAAAAGTGTTGGGAAGGTGGAACTAGAAGAAACGCAATAATCGGTTCTGCTGTCTCGGTCTAGTTTGCCAGACGTCTTTTCAAGTTATTTCCTAATCTTAACGGGGAAATATACCAATAAACTGTAGAGGCTGTGCTGCCCTGCCAAAGCTGTTTAAAAAGCTTTCTTTCGAGCGGGGCGGTGACGTGTATGCCGAGCTATTATTGGCACCTCACGGCATCTCAATTTCCCCCAAACTTTTATAATCAAAATGTTGTCATCGAGCCAAGCACGGCCCTCCCCCTCCCCCTCCACTCTTTCACCCGTTGATTCAGCCCCTCCCCTCCTCCATCCTTTCAAACTGCTTGGTATTCATGGAGGGCGTTTTGGCGGAGGACTTCTTTCGTGAAGTGCAAAGGACCTTCGGGTGAGGAGAGCGAGCGGGCCGGGCGGGCCGAGCCGCGGCGTGGAGCCGCGGAGTTTGTGTGAATCATGTGGAGGGCCCTACTTGCCAGCCCGCCACCCGCCAGCCCACCAGCCGCCCCTAGGGGCCCCCGTCCCGATGCCAGCTGCTCCCGGCGGAAGGCGCAGCTAGGCGCGGCTAGCGCGGCTAGGCTCGGCCGAGGGCGAGGTGGGGGACTGCGATTTTGGCTGGGCGGTTTACGTAGTTGGCGGCCGCGGCCGGGGAATGCCACTTGCTCTACTCGTGGAGCTCGTTGGGGATCGGCCCGCCACTGCCGACTCTGCGGACCGATTCCGAGAGCCGTTTGCGTCGCTCTGTCTCTCTCGCACTCATGGGGCGTTTCTCACAGGTGCGAGAGAGACAGAGCGACGAAAACGACTCTCTCTCGGAATCAGTCTGCTGCCGGGCCGGATTAGGGCTGCCGGCCCCGGCCGCCCCCCCGCACACCGATTCCGCGCCGCCTACAAACAGTGGTCCCCGGAGGTCCGCCGCCGCTGACCCCATCGTGCCGCCACCCTCTGGGGCTGTGGGGCTGTGGGGCTCCTGACCGCTGGGCCTCTGACCGCTGGGCCGCTGGGCCGCTGGGTCCCTAGCTGGGCGGCAGCGTGTAGAACGACCGCAACACTTAGCTCCACGCTTAGCGCACCAGGCCGACCAAGCCACTTGCCGTGTTGGCGCCACGGCCTGCCTGCACGGCCTGCACTCCCCGACCGGGCTTAGGCAAAGTCGCAGCGAGGCACTAAAGTGCGAGTTACGGTCTTTCCGTCATCGTGCTGCTTCGCGCTGCTTCTCGCCGGGCCCCACGTTGCTGCGTTCTCCTCCAAAGCTTTATTGCCCGGTCCGCTTGGCTGCGCAGTATTTCCTGTTTACGCACCGCACTGCCTCCAGCCACTGCCTCCAGCCACTGCCTCCAGCCACTGCCTCCAGCCACTGCCTCCAGCCACTGCCTCCAGCCACTGCCTCCAGCCACTGCCTCCAGCCACTGCCTCCAGCCACTGCCTCCAGCCACTGCCTCCAGCCACTGCCTCCAGCCACTGCCTCCAGCCACTGCCTCCAGCCACTGCCTCCAGCCACTGCCTCCAGCCACTGCCTCCAGCCACTGCCTCCAGCCACTGCCTCCAGCCACTGCCTCCAGCCACTGCCTCCAGCCACTGCCTCCAGCCACTGCCTCCAGCCACTGCCTCCAGCCACTGCCTCCAGCCACTGCCTCCAGCCACTGCCTCCAGCCACTGCCTCCAGCCACTGCCTCCAGCCACTGCCTCCAGCCACTGCCTCCAGCCACTGCCTCCAGCCACTGCCTCCAGCCACTGCCTCCAGCCACTGCCTCCAGCCACTGCCTCCAGCCACTGCCTCCAGCCACTGCCTCAGCCACTGCCTCCAGCACTGCCTCCAGCCACTGCCTCCAGCCACTGCCTCCAGCCACTGCCTCCAGCCACTGCCTCCAGCCACTGCCTCCAGCCACTGCCTCCAGCCACTGCCTCCAGCCACTGCCTCCAGCCACTGCCTCCAGCCACTGCCTCCAGCCACTGCCTCCAGCCACTGCCTCCAGCCACTGCCTCCAGCCACTGCCTCCAGCCACTGCCTCCAGCCACTGCCTCCAGCCACTGCCTCCAGCCACTGCCTCCAGCCACTGCCTCCAGACTGCCTACCACTGCCTCCAGCCACTGCCTCCAGCCACTGCCTCCAGCCACTGCCTCCAGCCACTGCCTCCAGCCACTGCCTCCAGCCACTGCCTCCAGCCCTGCCTCCAGCCACTGCCTCCAGCCACTGCCTCCAGCCACTGCCTCCAGCCACTGCCTCCAGCCACTGCCTCCAGCCACTGCCTCCAGCCACTGCCTCCAGCCACTGCCTCCAGCCACTGCCTCCAGCCACTGCCTCCAGCCATGCCTCCAGCCACGCCTCCAGCCACTGCCTCCAGCCACTGCTCCAGCCACTGCCTCCAGCCACTGCCTCCAGCCACTGCCTCCAGCCACTGCCTCCAGCCACTGCCTCCAGCCACTGCCTCCAGCCACTGCCTCCAGCCCGCCTCCAGCCTGCCTCCAGCCACTGCCTCCAGCCACTGCCTCCAGCCACTGCCTCCAGCCACTGCCTCCAGCCACTGCCTCCAGCCACTGCCTCCAGCCACTGCCTCCAGCCACTGCCTCCAGCCACTGCCTCCAGCCACTGCCTCCAGCCACTGCCTCCAGCCACTCCTCCAGCCACTGCCTCCAGCCACTGCCTCCAGCCACTGCCTCCAGCCACTGCCTCCAGCCACTGCCTCCAGCCACTGCCTCCAGCCACTGCCTCCAGCCACTGCCTCCAGCCACTGCCTCCAGCCACTGCCTCCAGCCACTGCCTCCAGCCACTGCCTCCAGCCACTGCCTCCAGCCACTGCCTCCAGCCACTGCCTCCAGCCACTGCCTCCAGCCACTGCCTCCAGCCACTGCCTCCAGCCACTGCCTCCAGCCACTGCCTCCAGCCACTGCCTCCAGCCACTGCCTCCAGCCACTGCCTCCAGCCACTGCCTCCAGCCACTGCCTCCAGCCACTGCCTCCAGCCACTGCCTCCAGCCACTGCCTCCAGCCACTGCCTCCAGCCACTGCCTCCAGCCACTGCCTCCAGCCACTGCCTCCAGCCACTGCCTCCAGCCACTGCCTCCAGCCACTGCCTCCAGCCCGCCCCGCCCCTGCCTCCAGCCACTGCCTCCAGCCACTGCCTCCAGCCACTGCCTCCAGCCACTGCCTCCAGCCACTGCCTCCAGCCACTGCCTCCAGCCACTGCCTCCAGCCACTGCCTCCAGCCACTGCCTCCAGCCACTGCCTCCAGCCACTGCCTCCAGCCACTGCCTCCAGCCACTGCCTCCAGCCACTGCCTCCAGCCACTGCCTCCAGCCACTGCCTCCAGCCACTGCCTCCAGCCACTGCCTCCAGCCACTGCCTCCAGCCACTGCCTCCAGCCACTGCCTCCAGCCACTGCCTCCAGCCACTGCCTCCAGCCACTGCCTCCAGCCACTGCCTCCAGCCACTGCCTCCAGCCACTGCCTCCAGCCACTGCCTCCAGCCACTGCCTCAGCCACTGCCTCCAGCCACTGCCTCCAGCCACTGCCTCCAGCCACTGCCTCCAGCCACTGCCTCCAGCCACTGCCTCCAGCCACTGCCTCCAGCCACTGCCTTCAGCCACTGCTCCAGCCACTGCCTCCAGCCACCGCCTCCAGCAACTGCTGCTGTTGATGCTGCCTCTAATTTTTGTCCTTCTGCCTCCTTTTACCCCTTCCAGTACACGCTCCAGAGGAAAACACAACACAATAAAAAAACGACAATCAAGTGCAAACGGGATTTCAAACCACCCTCCCTGTTATAACATCCTGCAAATGTGGGACTGGAAAAGGCGAAATTAATTAAATGCCTGTAACCTCGTCGCAACAAAAATTCATGTACACTGCCGCGCCATATCACGTCGGGACCGCAAAAAAAGAAGTAAAAACAAGAAAAATCTCCGTGTTGGTTTTTTTGTCTGTACGGGGGGAAGGTCGACTCAGGCTACAGTGCGATGAACGCGAACGAGCGCCTGCGCAGTGCCGGGTAGGCAACACGAACGCACCCAAGCGGTCGGATTGCCTACTCAGTATTACCATTACAGTGCGCCACCGTGGGCGGGAGAAAAATCTCAGAAATTAAATCGGGCTGGTTGCGTATTTGGTATTTTCTGGCGCGCCCTGATTGGTCGCTGCACCGTTTTTCTCGTCGCTTTCCCGCCGTGAATGACTTTTGCCGGGACTCGCTGTGCTGCGCGCCGCGCGCCTCGCGGCCTTGTAATATGATTGTCCCCACAAACACCCTCCGCCTCACCCCGCCCCGCCCGCCCCGCCCCGCCCCGCCCCGCCCCACCACGCCCCACCGCACCCCCTTCCGCGGTGATTTACTGCGCCACGCTCGGCGCTCCGGTGAGGCGGGGTGGGGCGGCGGCTACCCCTTCGGCCATCGCAACAGGGTCGC